CTCGGTGTCTCACAGCCGGCTCTGCCGGAGGGCGTGGGAAGGGGAGCGGCCGCCTGTCCCGCTCGGCCCCACCGGAGGCGCCGGGGCAGTGCCCGTGTCCTGAGCGTGAGTGAGGAGCCCCGCAGGGCCCGGGCAGCCCGGCCGCGCGGTGAGGTCGGTCTGTGTCCTCTCGGGCTGCAGCCCAGGAGGCTAGAGTCCGCTGTCAGTGCCCGGGACTCGCTTCGTTAAACGGAGACACCAGCTAGAGGTGAATCTAGTGACGGGGTTTATCCCGAGAAACCTCCTCAAAAAGGCATAGGAAATGTGTGACTGACGCCGTGTCTTTAGTGCAAACCGAGAACTAGCGAGGGGTGTCTTGCTGCTGTGCATCAGTGCCATGCTCAGACTGTGCCAAGGACAGCAGAGCCAGGAGTTATGAGATCACTTAATCTCTGTAGTGGCTAAGCATGTACAGGTAGTAAATCAGGTAAAAATCACAACCATTCTGGCCTAGTGCAGAGACCTGGTCATGTCATTCATCCATAGGACTTGTCTTTTCTGCATCTTGGTCACTTCATCCTTCTCTGTTTCTGTGGAAACTGATATTTGTCATCATCATGAAGTGCTTCCTTAGTTTCCTAATGAAAAATGCTGTATAAAACTAGGCTGCTGAAAGAGCTCCTGTGGTTACTATTTACAAGCCTCTGTGAGAGCTCAGTAAACTTATAAAATGAGAGACTTTTATAAAAGAAATACTATCAAGTAATACTAACAACTGCCATGTAATGACTCTTAAAAGTTTTCTGGAGGCTGCAATATTCCATGGGTTCTTTAAAACCAAAAACATAAAGTAAAGAACTCTATACTAAATATTCCTGTGGCAGATGGTAGCTGCTGGGAAATGGTCCCCAGCTTCCAAACCCAAATGACAAAAGGGAAGTATTAAGTGGCAAGAGCTTCACAGGCTCTGCTGATGTGATGTGGTCAGTGGATTAGTTTGAAAGCTATGCAGGGAAGTGATCATGATTTGAGATTTGGGAGATGGCCTCTTTGTCTATATGCAAAGAGGAAGAAAGTTCCATGTTTCTGGATGTTCGGCACATCTCAATTCCATGTGAATTCTGGAAGCTGTGAGCAGCAGTACAGATTGCCAGTAGTGTGATGAGATATGACTGGACTGTGGGTTTATTGTACTGGAGTAGATGGAAGTGTATTATTAAGTGAAAGTTTTGAGTAGGAATTTACTGTAAAGGAAGGTGCTGAGTTGTAAAAACAGCAAGTGTTGAATTGTTCCAAAGTACTGGTTTTGTGGTAGTGAAGAGAGATTATTTCAGTGAAGCTTGCCAGAGGTCTAGGCCTGCCTCACATCCTAGCTGGCATTTCCAGACTCCTACTTGTGTGCTTTTTTGATGGTGAACAGCAAATTAAAGAACAAACATTCCTTGTATTATGAAGCTTTCTGTGCACTGAGGGAAGTCAGTATTGTTTTCTTCTTACCTTTCTTACTCCTTGTTATTACAAATGTATGCATTTGTGAGGGAAATACACCTGTATTTCTTGCTTTCATTCATTCTTAATTGTCCTTCATTCATTCTTCATTCTTTTCAGTTTTGCTGTCATGATCTTGGAGAGCCAGGACAAACCTTTGTTCAGTGGTTCAATCCAGAGGAAGAGATTAAGTGAACTAAAACCAGCCATACATCTTTCTGTTTACGTAGAAAAGCCTTGACGCTTGCTTATTTCTTCTCACAGATGCTGAAGTCAGTACCAGAAAGAAGACATTTGCTGAAGTCCAAACAGAACGGTTGGATCAAGCCGAACGGACTGTTTTAATTAAGTGCCCATCAAAACTTAATGAAAAAAAATTATTGCAGTACTTATCCAGTCATGGGAATGTTAAGAGTCATTTCTTTTTTGAAAATCGTGTAAGTAGTAACTATTTCTCCTGGTTTAGGACAAACAAAACAATGTAAACTAAAATCTAGACTTAGATGAAAATAAATGCCAGGAAGAAAATTTGATTAAGGCTGCATACATAAATTAAGCAAATTATATATACTTAATGCATTAAATCAGTTTTTATCTGAGAAGTTGATTTTTATTTGCAAGTCAGCTAAGCAAGACCTCTAAGGAATAGCCAGCAACCTGCTTTGCACTAAATCTTTGAAATTTTCACATAGCATCATTCATTGCTCTAACAATAAGGATACCTCTTTTTTTATGTGTTTCTTGAGTATTTCAGTTGTAAAGTTGAATGTAGTTCAGAACTTTTATGTTTAGTCCTTGCTGCCAAGAATAGCATGTCTTAAATACTTTTAACCTCTTATGAAAAAGCATCTGAAATGTTTTGAGGTATGGAACCTAGCATTTGGCTTCAGGGCTATCATATTAATCTGTCTCAGAAGCCCCAGGAACATCTGAGTAATATCAGTACAATGAGTTCAAGCATTGCATGCATTTATCTCACCCTTTATTTCCATTCTTAATGTTTTAGGGCATCAGTGCTTTAATAGAGTTTTCAGAGAAGAGCAGTATAGCCTCATTGCAGGATGCTGTTGGGATCCCAAGTGCTTCAGAGCATCATGTTGTCCCATTTAAATCAAGACTTTTTACTTTCACCCTGAAAAACCCAGTGAGTCAACACGTTGAAGAGACACCACTTCACCTCTCTCCTCAGTGTCACATTCCAGTGAAAGACCTTATTGAAAAGCTTTGTCTTGCAGACAGCGTAAGTAGAGGTTTCTAGATCTCTTTCTTAATTTCTAGATCTCTTTCTTAATTAAAAATGAGACATGTTCATTTCAGATTTGCAAGTGGTCATGTGAACCTTGTAAAGGTATTTATTTTTATTAAAAAAAGGTAACATTTTATTAGCTTTTTTTGTGAATGGTTGTCCTATATTAAAATAAATAAATTATTCATTTTAATTATGAAAATAATTTCTCTGTGTGAAAGAAACCTTTTTGAAATTTTGAAAAATAATCTTCTAATTCCATTGATATTAAATAGATGAAAATACATGTTGATAGAAGATGATAATTGCATTTTTACAGTGTTTATTTTCTGAACTAGATAAGCAGTCAGATGTGCATTCTACTGAATGAGTATCAGCTTACAGAAGAAAACATCAAGCTGCGATTTCTGGCCTGTTCTTTGGTTCGGGATTTTGCACGTGCATATTTCCCAGACAGCACGGTAAAGCCGTTTGGCTCTTCAGTCAACACGTTTGGCAAACTGGGATCTGATGTGGACATGTTTTTGGACTTCGGTGATACAGGAAAGCATGCTACAAAAATGGTAAGATTATGCTGTGCATCTTCAGTTTGCTGGATTTCTTCAACAGAGCAGCTCATTTGATGTTTCACACACTAGAATCAGTTTAATTTTAATTAGGTTTTAAATGGGTTCATATTATAGAGTGTGAACAAGTTTATTTGAATGTTTGGATCTGAAGACTTTCAAAAACTGAATGTGACATGGACGAGATCTTCTTTGCAATAGAAAGAAAAGGATTTGGTGTTTACATGAATTTTGTACTATTAGGGTGAATTTCACTATGAAGAACACTCTCCAAAATTGTTTCAGTGGACCTTCCCATTCTACTGTTGTGTTTTCTTCACTGTGGCTTCTGTGCTTCAGCCATGCTCTGTTAAAGCTTGGCTGTGATTTTTAGAGTCTTCCATGTTGTAAAGCAAAGTAAGTTTGTGCGTGTGTGCACATTTGTGTTTTGGTGGGATTGTCAGGTTATTTTTCTTACCTTAAGAGATGATTTCATGCTCCAGGAAAGGTACTGGATTAGGTACTGGGGTATATATATATGTATTTATAGGCACATATTTAGTGTGTGGAGGTGTAAAAGCTCAGGATGTGAGATAGTCATGGTGAATGCTTACAGGTCACAGATTATGAATGAATTATCAAGTAAGTGATTTCGTGTTGTGAAAACTTATCATTTGTGTGGTGACAGATAGTTTGGGAAAAGCTAGCTCTGTTTTCCTTAAAAGACAGTGGGCATAAGCTTTTGAAGATTGAAAATTCTCTCAGCTTTTCTGTACAATTTGTATATTGCTGTGTAAGTAGCTTTCAAAGAAATATTCCCTTAAATGTATATAGCTTTTAGTATTACTGCAGTGATAAATCACAATGAAAGCAAATGTGTCTGCTGAAGAGAAGGGTCATCGTGTGTGTCAAGTCTTAAAATCTTTGTTTAAATAGTGAAGTTGCCTCTTAAATTTTGAAGGAATAACTTTCAAAATTAAATGTTTATTTTCAAAGCGTGTTTGGTGACTAGCTGTTTTCTTTAATATGTATACTTTGTGAAGATAGCAGTTCTGTTGTGAAATGTAGAGTATTTGACGAGTGAGTTTACTAGCGGCTGTGATTACCTATGAATGGCTGAGAGACTTACTACTCAGGGGAGACAAAGGGGAGGTAGCTTTAGTTACAAGGTGATTTAGCAGCAGTGGAAATGGTATGTTCTGGTTTCTTCATTTCTGTAGCCTTCCAGGAGGTGCCAGCAATGAGAAGGATCAGGCATTTCAGCACTATTTACATGAAATACCTGTTTTGGAGCTTTATGACAAAATGATTACTAATCGCAGTTTAAGAAAAGGGGCCAAAGTGGGAACATTATTTACCAAGACCGAAGATAGGGCATTTTTAACCCTGGGACAGTTGGGAGATCAGTGAATGACTTAAAACAGGGCTCTGTGATATTTTAGAGTAGCAGTTTTAGTTAAAACGGTTGTGGTCCTTGCTTAGGTTACTGTATCAGTTAACCCAAAGGTAATAGTTTACTTTTAATAATAGTAATAGTTTAGTATTTAGTAGACAAAATAAGGGAAGAACCATAGGGTTGGCACAAGTGTATCAGTACTTCATAACCCCTAGCCAGCATCAAAGCAATTAAAAGGTTCTTTTAATTGCTAAGAATATCATTATAAAACAGTCTTCATTCAGTTTTTGAGAGATAGGGAGGTACTGTCTGGAAAGGCCCATTGTGGTTTTTGTTAGAAATATAAATATCAACACCAGCCCACCTACAGGTCAGCTGAGTCCCCATCTTTATCTTTCCTGTTAACTGCCTCGATGCTGATAGTTACAGGCTCCTTTCAGTTAGAGCCAGCCCTGCTGTAGCATGCAGCTACACAGCCAGATGGGATCAGGGACTGCTGTCCTGGCATGTTCCACCACACCTTGGTGCTGACTGGAGTGGAGTGGGATCAGTCAGCTCGGTGATTGCCAGAGAGACTCAGAAATTCAGCCCCTGAAGTAACCTTATGGGAAAGGTTGCAAGGTCTGTAACTTCTGAATTGTTTCACCTGTCTGTGAGCTTACTAATTTGTGGACAAAAAAATGACGTGCTCTGTATCTCAGTTACTGTTGGATGACTGTGATTTTATTTGTATAGTATGCATTCACCCATGACATGTTCCAAGGGAGAGGATAAATCAGTGTCAAGTATTGGATTAGCAATCAAAATTAGCTGATGTCTTAAAAACACAAGACTATAAAGAAAACAGAGATTTCATAAGTATTTTATTGAGGTAAAAACTACTAATATAGCGAAACAAAATATGAAGACCTACAGAGAAGTTAATTTCTGATATTAGAATATATCTTCACAATATTTTTGTCTTCCAGGGAAAGTACATATGACCTGAAGTGATTATTTTAAGTTTTACAGACTCATATCTTAATTTTGAAGGATTAAGTAATTTGCATGCTAATTTCTTTTACTTTTTTAAATGAAAAAGACTTTTTCCTTACACTGCTACTTGATTTACTAATAATGCATTTTTTTTTGAGGCTTTGACATGAAATTACCAATAGTTTGAAGTTCTTGGTAGTTCGGTTGTGTTGCCCCTCTGTAACTGTATTGTCCTCTTTGCAGTCAGAGCATTTATGCTCTGTTGGTAATTCCAGAATTACGTTTTTTAGCCAGTAATGGGATGTAGTACTAATACTTCTGTTAGAACATTTAGTTTTATAATAAGTTCATCACTATTAGCCTAGAAAAATGGAATCACCAGATAAGAATGTAAAAGAGAGAGCAATATGTTTTTACCTATTTTAAATTCAGTGGACTGCTTTGAATAATTCTTGTCTTTCAGTTCTAGTTGTACAAACTCCTTTGCAAATTGTGGTGGTCTTTCAGAAGTATTTTTAAATGTCTTTTTTGTTTGAGAGCTAACAGCTTGCTTTTAAAATTCTGTGTTAGAAAAAAGGTCCCTTTGAAATGGAGTATCAGATGAAAAGATTACCATCGGAAAGATTAGCAACTCAGAGGATTCTTTCCGTCATTGGAGACTGCCTTGATAATTTTGGTCCTGGGTGTGCGAATGTACAGAAGATCCTCAATGCCCGCTGCCCTCTAGTGAAATTTTCCCATCAGCCGACAGGATTCCAGTGTGATCTGTCAGTGAGCAACAGGTGAGACCTGGTTTTAAAAAGTTTGCAGAGAATTCTTAAAGTGTGCTGAAAACCTGTAATACCAACTGTTTAGTCTTCTCTTTACAGTGTACTTAACAAATGTGAATATTGGCTCTGAAAGTAAAAAGATATTTTTTGACTTCTAGAGGTTAGAGTTTGATATCCTTAAGTTGTCTTTCTCCAGCACAGGAAACACTTGCTAGCTGAAGCTGAAGACTGAAAAACCAGTCTATGGAATAAGGTTGTCTTTTAAAACTGGAAAGAAGGCAGTCAGTGTTTACTAGTCATTACTTTTCTTTGCCGTATATACAGCCTTTCTTGGTTGCTTTTCAGATTAAGCAGCTCCAGGATGTTGATTTTTAGGCATTTGGCTTCTAGCTATCGTGGTGTCCTTTCCTTGTTGTTAATTGCTTACATACACCTGTTTGCTGGGAATTTCCAGGGCGCCAGGTGAATCCCCGCCTCGGGACCCCAGGGGAGCGTGCGGTGTTCCCGCCGCGCGCGGCCGCTCGCAGCGCTGCCCGCTAGGGGGCGCCGGCTGCCCAGGAGTGCCCTCAGGGCCCGCGGGGACCGCCCAGCGCAGACATGGCAGCGCCGGCCCTGGCTGCTTGTGCCGTCCGTGGTTTAACCAGAAATAACCCCCTCTCTCCAGTAAACAGCGCTGGCATAAGTGTTCACATAACCAGAATGAGTTACTGACCCTTTTCATTGTTGCTGGGGAATATAAAAATATGAGTGATAATTCTTCAGGATACCAATGACAGGAGCCAAGGGAATGGCCTGAAGTTGTGTCTGGGGAGATCTAGGCTGGATATCAGGAAAAGGTTTTTCAGAGGGTGGCTGAGCCCTGTAAGGGGCTCTCCAGGGAAGTGGTCACAGCACCAAACCTGACAGAGTTCAAGAAGCTTTTTGACAATGCTCTCACACAAGGTGTGACTCTTGGGACTGTCCTGTACAGGGCCAGGAGTTGGACTTTGATGATCCTTATGAGTCCCTTCCAACAATTTTGTGATTCTGTGATATGAATTTAGTGCAGTTTTGTGATTTGTCTGCATCAGGTACAATCAGATCAGATACACTCAGTTTTCTGAGTCACCCAAAGATCTGTTTCAGAATATGCAGGAGTTAAGGCAATATTGAAAAAGTTTCTTACAATTAATTTACTTTGCTATATGCAGCCACAGTGAAATTCAGCATGTAGTTCTGTACAAGCTTCCTTGTTACTCACTGCTGATAGTTTGGCTGGTTGGGACTGCATGTCTGGTCTTGTTATCATTTTTACTAGAAACAAATCTCTCTGGACGCATTAAGCACCTCACACTGAAATTTCAGGAGCCCAGGTGTTAAAAAATCTTGACCTACTGTCCACAAAAGGCTATGCTGAATTTTTAGAACACTTTAGGCTAAAACTGATCCAAAGCAAGTTTTGCTGTCATACTGTACTTCAATTTTTTTCAACGTTTTCTTGCCCTCACATTTGTACAATACATGAATGGTTGTATAACAGTGTGATGAAGGAGATCAAGAACTGATCCATCTGAAAACCTTTATCCTTCCAAATTAGTTGTTTTTTTCAGCTCGACTAAGCAGTAGTCATTCAAAAATTACCAAACTGACTTGTTTTGTGGATTTCATTGTGTGTCTGCACTTAGATTATTTTTCAGTGCAGTATTTTATTACTTTTTAAATAAAACAGTGAAAGAAGTTCTAGTTGTATTTTATTACATGTTAGGATAGAGATATTATCTAATGTACCTCAAAGGCAATTGTGGCTAAATTATGTTTTTTCATCTCAGTTCTGCATAGTTTGACTCCACAGTACTTGATGGTGTTTTTTTTATTTGGGGTTTTTTTTCCTCCCACTGTGATGTGGAACGAAGAAACAGGAAACAGTGCAAATGCACATTATTTACCCAGAACCGTGATGTATCATTCTTGCTATGGAAAACTACCAGATATTTAATCTTGGACAATTCCAGGCATTCCAACCCAAACCATTCTACTATTCTATGATTCTCCTCTATTTTTCAAAATGTGTGAAAGTTGTTTTTGTTTTTTTTTTTATTGAGGCCCCATTCTCTTATAATGAACAAAGAACACTGCATCTGATATTTCATAATTCTGTCATCATTTACATGTCTTCCCATTTCTTCTTCAGCATTGCAATAAGAAGTTCAGAACTCTTGTATATCTATGGCAGTCTTGATTCCCGTGTACGAGCATTAGTGTTCACCATACGATGTTGGGCTCGTGTCCATGGACTTACAAATAGTGCTCCTGGTACCTGGATCACAAACTTCTCTCTGACCATGATGGTCATGTTTTTTCTGCAGAGGAGATCGCCACCTATCATTCCAACACTAGACCAACTTAAAGAACTTGCAGGTAAGCACAGCAGTTTCTGTTTATTGCACATATGTTTTATCTAAAGTGATAGATAAATCCAAGCAATTTCTTTATGCTCTCAAGTACTAATGAATATTATGCGTGTTTTAAGTTTGAGGGAATATACAAGTTTTACATGTATTTTTTAGTGAAAATAATGCATCTTTAAAGGTAAAATAAATCCCTTTTCAGTACAATACTAATTCTATTTAGAGGGGTTAGACTCGTTCTGTCCCTTAGATAATTAATTTACTTGTTCAGTGCTCCTGTGTTGAATTTTTTTAAATTTTGTTTTTTAGAAGACTTCTAGGATCTTGAACATTTCTGGAATTAAGGATTTTGTGCAGACTGATATGATGTGTATTGTTTTATAGCTACCAAATTCTTAAAAGAAAGGCTGTGTTTTCTTCTCCCAGTTCGTAATATCCTTGATACCGTTCAGGCCCTTTGCAAATCGTTCTTGTATCTGCACAAACAAACTGTTCTGATGGTTTCTTACACAGCATTCAGGGTGTGTTATCTCCAGTGAATTGTATGAAAGCATAGAGAATCACACCTCAGGTTCTTGATTCCTTACTCGTGTCTTCTGCTTATTCATTTGATTCCTTGGAAACTTTGAGTGCTTGGTACTGGAGAAAAAAAGTCTGTGTTCAGTTGCTTTAAAATAATTTTAAACATTTCCATCAGAACTGTGTAGAAATGTTTATACATAAAATATGTGTTCTGATAGTTACAAGAGTGTTCTTAATTCTCTGAAATTTTTCAGGAAAAGACAGTGAACATTCTGGGTCTGACTTTTTTTAAATCCTCATGTAGTCAGTAACCTCAGAGAGTTGTGCTGTTAAGTGTGTAATACAGCCCTCTATGCAGAGATACCCTGTTTGATACTTACTAGAAATATTTTCAGAGATATGAAGATATCATTTATTTCAGTCCTGTAGGTCCGTTGCCCATCTATAGACTTTTTCCTGTCAAATCTTTTACCACTTAAGTTGAATCTTAACCTGAAAGTTGTGAGTTCCTAGTTTGATTTGTGTAATATGGTAGCATTGATTTCAGTTTTTTATCTGAATTTTATTAAATACAATAGCACTTTAATATTTGTTACTTCAAAATATGCCCACAATTTTTCTTTCAGATGAAAAAGACAAGCATATAATTGGAAGATATGATTGCTCATTTGTTAGCGATTTAAGGAAGATTAAACCTACAAAAAATACAGAAACACTTGGTAGGTAGATCCTCATAATTTTTTTTTAATAAGCTTATTGAAAACAAACCTTTCCTTAATGTTACTTATGGCTCTTGTTCTTCTTTCCCTTAGATGTATTGTTGGGCGAGTTTTTTGAATATTTTGGAAACTTTGATTTCAGAAAGAACTCCTTAAATCTTCGAAAGGTAAATGGATTTTTTTTTTTAATTAATTGCTCATCATTATCAATCAAATCTCTCTGTCTGCCATTTGACAAACTACATATGCTAAACAGCAATTTCTGTCATTTTAATTATATATAAAAAATATATTTGTAGGGAAGAAACTGAGTCCTTTCTGTGAAGGAGGAGTGTTTTCCTCTTGGAGCCCAGTAACTTACAGTACCATTAAGAACATTTACAGTGTCATTACTTGGATATGCTGGAAAGCAGAAACTGATGCAAAGCTAGTGTGATTTTACTGAAAAGACCTGTAATAAAAGTGACAGTGTTAAAAAGTTGAAGCTATTTTGCTTCTGTGGGAGGAAAACTTTTAAAATGTCATGATGTCTGGCATAGCAAAAGCCTGTGACAAACCCTACGAGCTGACAGGATTTGCAATTAAAGTCGGGAGTCCAGACTCAAGCAGAGCCTACGTTAAAACTTACAGCTGAGTTCTGGGTGTGCTTTTGGCACTGCTGTTTTCTACTGGAATTTGTATCAGCCTACAGTAACTGTACTGCAACTCAGTAAGCAATGCCATAGCACGGTAATTCTGTGCTAGCACTTTGGTTTGCTTTGTATGCTTAAGGCATCCTATCAATCTGTGTGTGCATGAAGGTGTAATAGAAATACATGAAAATGTAACCTCTGTAACTCACACCTGTTCCTGCTGGGCTGCTTCCAAAATGGGGTTTCAGTGCCACATTACTGTGTGACCACTCGTTTGTTCTGTTTCCTGTTTGGGCATTGTGCATCACTGGCTGAAGAGCTCTCTTTCAGATTGATCCTAAAAACGGATTTATATAGGTGGAGAACTTCTGTTTGCTATTACACCTGAATAAAGCAAACAAAAACACATTTGGAGCCTGAGCTAGTCAGGCTAATCTGTGCTGCTGATGTTTTTCTGACAGTGATCTTGGCCCTGAGGCCAAGAGTATGTAAGGTGTATATAGACACTTCCTGGACCAGCATGAGCTGGTGGGTTCCTGCTAGAGCTTGCAGCGGAAAGGTTTGAAGAGGTGTTCTGCTACACAGAATCAGTCAGCTAAGAAACACTGATAAGCACTGAGATGGAAGTGCATTTCAATAACAAATTACATAGCTGTCAGCTATCTGTGTTGTACTATACCAGGTGCCTAACAGTGGACCATGACCTGCATAGCTCTGTGCTTAAAAGACAGACCAAACTGGGAGGAATTTCAGCCAAGGAAGCAATCTTATTCACTTACACCTGCACTGTGAGCTCTCTGAACAGTGTGGGAGGAATGGTTTGAACAGTTTAAGCGAATCCAATATTTTATCAAACTGTGCTATGCAGGTTAATATGACACACTGATGCTGCCCATAGGCAAGTGAAGATTAGGAGTAGGAGGATGCAGTAGGTGAGTTCTGAGGTTGGGTGGACAGCAAATGGGAGATTGGCCAAAAAGATAGGTTAAGCTGTAGTTGTGTGTTCTTTACCTTAAAGGAATTCTAAGTTGAATGTTGCGAAGAAGACCGCCACTGAGGGTTCAGAGAGCAGGAATCGTACAGTCAGGTTGACAGGAAAATTAACTTGATTAATGATGACTGGGTGTTCTGTAAAACATTCTCTAATAGGTCAAAACACTTAATTCTAATGTAATAACTCAAATGATTTGTTATTTGCTCAGCCTATAATGTACATATGCAACTTTGGCTTTTTCTTTATGCTGTCTGCAGGGAAAGGAAGTAAATAAGCCTGAGTCGTCTCCTCTTTATATCTGGAATCCCTTTGAACAAGACCTTAATATCAGCAAGAATGTTAATCAGCCACAGCTGGAGAAATTTGTAGCTATGGCCAGAGAAAGTGCCTGGATTTTACAGAAGGAAGATAAAACTCAGCAAATGATCAATAAAGAACCTTGGGGACTGGCAGCTCTACTGATACCATTTGGAAAAAGTAATTCCAGCAAGATGAGGAATAGGATGAAAGGAATAGGAAGTGAAACAATCAGAAGCCTCTTGGACTCTTTAAAGTTAAATAATGCAAACAGTCAACAAAAAGCAGTGGGAAAATGACTTTAAGCACAGAAACACAATAGCTGATATTCTGTTTAAGGAATTGAATGTGACACACAGTCCATAGAACATTACTTTTAATATTTCTATTATGGGGAATGGAGAATCAAGCAATCTCTGGTTTTCATCGTGATAATTTTTGTACAGGTCTGCTTTCTGTACGTTTTTCTTCTCCTTACTACTCAGTTTCCTTCTGTTTTATGAATGAAAAATATTCAAATATAAGTTTTACAGATGCATTTTGGAAGTAGCCTTCAGTTGGGCACTCTACTGTAAAAAAGGCTGATGGGAGCAGTATGTGAAAAAGTCTTTGGGAATTCTCTTGGCTAGCATACAAATGATATGCTAATTAAAAGCTCAAGAAACAACCACCTTTCCATGAAACCGCAGTCTGGAAGAAGATAAATGTGTTGGACCCATTGTTTCCAATCCAGTCGTGTTTTGGAAGCCAGTAAAACCAAAGTGTGTGTATCTAGTTTTGCAATTGTTTTCCATTCATGTAGATAGTGTCAAGACAAAATAAAGAGGATGGAATTAGATAGTCGGGTTTGCAGTTTCGTAAAGCATTGCACCACCACAGCTCTCCAAGGATAGTGCCACTGTTTTGTGTTGGAAAAGTGGGTTTGCTCTTGTGTTTACCACCTGATTTCAGATGTCTTTAGAAAACTCTGCTTTGTTTTCTCTACCCAGGACTGGTCTCCACCCACGCTTGTTTCTTATTTTGCCTTCAGCTTCACTTTAAACCTGTATTTCAGGTTCAGGCAGGGGTTCTCGAATGCTCTTCTTGCTTCATCACTCTCCCCGAAGTTGCTGCCTACTAGGTGACATCAAAGCATTCCTGCGGAGGGATCTGTCCTGTGCAGAGATCCAGAGAATCATGTATTATGCTGGAGTCTGTTCCCAGGTTCCAAAACCTTGCCTTGGTTTTCAGATATTCAGTAGAACAGTGACTGTTGCCATTTCCAGATCAGTTGGATCAACAGAGTCAGTGCTTTTTGTTGACTTAAAACATTGAGTGCTCTTTGCATCTACCACAAAAAGAAGTCTTTTCAGAGGAAGGGGTGGGGGAGAAGGAATAAAATGGGAAATGGAGAGCAGGCAAATATCAAACTTTAAAAGTACATTTGGGAGTATTTCACCTGTGCAGTTTGAGAGCCACTCATGCATTAGACTAAACGATAGCACTGTTAGCAATTCCACAGAATGTTTTCTTCATTCTTAACAGAAATTCTGTAAAGGAAATTACTGTATTCGGAGATAATATAGATGAAACATCAATTTTATGATAACTTTCATTTTCAGTATTTTCACATTATTTAATGTTGACTGGTATACTTGTGTAGACATTTTTCTAATGGCTTGATCTGAACAATTTTTAAGTGTGTTTTCTCTTTTCTCTGATATATTTATTATTTATTGGAAATACTGGGGGCAATAATGCATACTTCCTTGTATGCACTTGTAAAAACTGGGCAAGGAAAAGTATCTTCTAGCAGTTGGCAAACTAAAGGGTTAGACCTTCAGGTCAATTCCATAACAGTTTATTTGGAGTTTAAAATAATAATCTTTTCTGATTCATAAATGTTTTCTTAAACAATGACTCACATAGTCATTATCTTGGTTGCTGAAATTAATTCTCATATTAACTTCTTCAAGACTGAGCCTTGAATTTGAAACTTAATTTTCTACCTAAATCCTGGTATTAGAACTTCTTTTTGGAGGATAGTATGAAGTCTACTGCAACTTGCTATTGGTCCAAGCACAAGGCCTTTGATAGCAAACTTGGCACAGATTCTGTAAGGAGCCTGCTGCTACCTTGATCTTTACAGAACCTAGAGGTATATTGTCTACAGTTTAAACAGGAATATACTGTCTAGCTTTTTGAAGATTAGGGCAGTACTCTTTTGAATTTTCTTTATTTTAGATTAACCAAATGTGTAATAGTATAGTAATAAGAATATGGGTTACCAGGGACAGAAGCATGCAGCAGAACTGTGGCAGTGTGTACTTAACTGCGTTATATTCACAGTGATCAACTGACATAGTAGGAAAGATTTTATATGAATTTTGACACATAGATACAGGACAGCTGTAGACAAGTAACAGTGAATTTTGTATTTTGTTATATGGTTGAGCCATGCTGAAGCCCAAGCTTCATTTATAAATGGTTATAGATGTTCAGGCTGCTTAATATCCCTTAAAAGGCAGGGCAGAACATGGTTACTGTACATGCAGTGCCTTGCAGCATCACTTTTCTGTTTAGACTGCCTGTCCCTTTTGGGAATAGTTCTGAACTGTTGTCATGACTGCAGGCCAATTTCTGAAAAGAGCAGAAAGAAGCCAAAAGCAGTGTTGTAGCAGTGGAATGCACAGGTTATTTTTTCAGATATCTACAAGTCAAGGGAGCTGGTGACCAGGCGCTGAAGCCTAGAGGCTGCAAGGATCAGCTCTCATTGGTGATGTAAATAAACTCAGCAGGCAGCTTCCCTAAAAGAGGCTGTAGCTGGAGGAGGTGGAGGGCTGACCATGAGCTTCCCTATAAAGTATGAATTATGTCTGGGGAAGAACTGAATGAAACTGAAGGCACCTGTGGGAAGAGAACCAAGACTTAAGGGGATGTATTTATGAAATCAAGAGATGATATGATTATAATTTCCTGAGGGTAGCAGTCTTACATTGAAAATATTTAGAAACCATCAATATGGTTCTGTCACTGAAAACAAGAGCTGGATGTATGTCAGGAAAGGACTGTGATTATGATCTAGATTTGAGAGCTCATTCATGTGCTCCAGAAACATGTAAACAATGTCTCTGCAAAAGCAAGGCAGTAACTTTCAGTTACTTCTCAAACTTGGTCATGATCTGCTGTATTGTATGGTGGGGTTGTTTGGGAGGTCAGATAAGGAACGCCAGTGAGTTAAACACAGTTTTGCCCCTCTTCCCCTTTTCCTTGCTGGAAATACTTTTTAGTGCAAGTCTCATATTTCCCAGCTCTTAAATGGTTAGGAACACTGAAACATTCGGAAGTTCCTTGTCCTGAGAAAATACACTTTGAGATACTAACTTCAAAGTTAACATTTGTTGCCAGGGATTTTTATTTTTATTTCCCTAGATGTTTGATGCTCACAAGTGTTGCAGGAATAGGTTCTGCTGCAACTGCCACTGTTCCTCATTCCTCTAAAACTTCCTGGGAATCTGCAGCTTTGGCCTACAGTTAACTCCTGGGTGAGCATCCTAGTGCCATGCTTGTGAAGACACAGTCACAAAACAGACTTCTTGCTACAGAAGTAGCAATCCTGTCTTGGTTTCTGTTCTTGAGTCTTGGAATCACAGCACATTTCAGGTTGGGAGAGAACTCTGAACCTAGTCCAATTGCCTTCTTAAGTGGTATCAGCTGTGAGATTAGACCAGGACTTTTTATCTAGTCAGGCCTTGAAAATCTCCAAGGAGATTCGGAGACCGTGCAGCCTGTTCTAGTGCTTGACTGTCCCCATCACCATGGTCAGCTAGGCTGAAATGTGCTGCCCCATCATTGTCGCTCTTAGTGGCTTTTTTTCTGATCCTGAAACATGCTCTCAATCAAAATGCTGTCTACAACAAGTGTTCAAGCTGTTCCTTCATACAAAAAGCCCCAAGTCTTCCCTTCTTTCCCTGTATCTCCAGAGGAACTCATATCCATCCATCACAATGCTCCCATCACATGCAAGCCCTCCTACCATAACTATTATTCCCACAGTGTTGTAGTAACAGCACAAGGAGCTCTAGCTCCTCCTGCTTGTTTCCCAGGCTGCCCCACATTTGTATCTGTAGATTTTAGGTGTGGCCACTGTGCATATCCAGCTTACAAAGTCCTCATGACACTCAAATCCTGACCAAAAATTAAGTTCTGAAAGGTTCTGCAGGAAAATAAGAGGCCTTGAGGAGCAGACTGGTGAATTGCAGTGGCAGAAAAGCCCCAGAAAATACAGTGCCATACGGAGATAGTGATGCAGGTGCAGAATCACCTTAGGGCACAGTGCTGTGTCTCTGGGACAGTTGCTGTTGCTTCCACAAGTGCAGTAGTGTGGTACAGGATGCTGCTGCCCAGCAGAGCTTGTCCCACTTGGATCTGACACATTTGTGGTGCTGTGTCACTTCTAGGTCTAGAGCAGTCAGGAGCTCGGCCACAAGCCTGCTGTGCTCCATGCTTGTGCTGGGTCTCTGGTAATTGAGGAATTGTGTTCTCAGAGCAGCAAGACTTCCATCATAGAAACAAATTTGCAAGTTCTGGTTTTTTTATGCTCTCCAGAGGTACAGGGTGTGTTTTTGCTTAACAAAATTTTGTACCTTTGGAAAAGAAAAAGGTAGACAAAGAACCTCTATTTAAATAATTTTGCAGACAAACTAGTTAAAGGTCCGTGCCATGTTCAGCTGAAGAAAGTTTAATATTTCTAGCCTGGGCTGCTTTGGAGATACAATAAATCAACAAGTAGGAGGCTTTTCAAAGTAAAGTCATGCTGTTCACTGGAAAGTTCTAAATGCTTTCTTTTGCTTATCACAAAATTACCACCAAGGTTCTCTTCTAGTATTAAATTCTTCTAAACATCATGGGTAACTTGGGGTCAGTTTGTTTAAAACAAGGGTTAGGATTTATTTGAGGCTAACCTGTGCCTGGAGATAAAATCTCCTTCTCCATAAATCCTCTTAGTTGAAAGTCTTGATCCACTGCTTTTGCAGACCTGTTTCTCATACTTTCTTTAGCAGAGGATTGGTTTGCTTTCTCTTGCAGGACCTCCCTGCTTCTTTTCACCCTTACCATTGTATTTTCTTTGTATCTGACCTGTAAAAAAATAGTATTTCACTTCCCCTAGTATTTTGTGAAGCAATAGTGAATACAGCTGTATTCAAGAAACAGGTAGTTTTCAAAAGGTGGTTCTCACATTGCAATGTAATTTTTTTTTTACTACTTCATTTACTGTGTAGACTGAATCTCCATACTGCATTTCCCATGGCTCGTAGAGGGATCAATAAGCTGAACTTGATGGCTCTCACCTTTATTGAACATGTAGTTTTGGGAAGTCTCCTCAGTAAAGAGACTTGTTTAACGCAGTCTGTTATATTAGAAAGAAGAAGTTCCCTGCAAATTTTTGAGAGGCACTCTACCCTTCAGGATTCATTCTGTTTTCTCTTGTTGTTACGGGGAAAACCGTGGTCATTTTGTTTCCCTGAAGGTCTCCAGAGATAGGTTTTTGTTCCCATGCTGAGCTTTCTTGTGGATACAGATTTGTAGTCAATGTAAACAGTGCAGCCCTGTACAGGAATTTTGCATGGAACAGCTCCCAGAATATGTCTTGTAGGTATTATGCTCACAGCCCAACAGGGGAGGTAAAAACCCCAGAAATCACTAAAGCATTGCCTCCATTTGTGTTGCTGACTCCTCCAGATAGAACAATTTCTGTAATTCTGTATTGCTTTTTCTCATGCTGGTCATTGGAAAGACATTGCTTTCCTGCAGAGAAAAGGTAAATGTGTTAGAAGTTGAATTGCTGGAGTAAAGAGC